TTGCCTTGCAAACACCACCATAAATTCTTGAGATAAAAGACATGCTTATCTTGACCACCCATATTTTTAAATAATCTGCCTCACTTTTGAACCACTTTAAATATGATATGGTCTGTGGATTTTAAAAAAATATTCTATTAAATGCTGTATTTAAGTAACTTACTTTTTCTTGACAGCTGATGTAGATTGTAGGTAGTCTTCAAGTTACAACCACAATTGAGCCTAAAATTTCTGTTGCTAAGTAAAACATTTGTTAAATGAATTTTGCTCCATTTTACGACCTTTCAAGCCACAGTTGTTAAATGAATCACTGCTGTTGTTAAATTAGTATTCTGGTTGTTAAGTGAAACTGGCTTCTCCATTGGCTTTGCTTGTCAGAGGATTGCCAAGAGTGATTACACGATCCTGGGACATAGCAACGGTCATAAATATGAACCCGCTGCCAAACATCTGAATGTTTGTCACATGGCTATAGGGATGCTACAAAGGTTGTAACTGTGAAAATTGGTCATAAGTAACTTTTTTCACTGCCATTGTAACTTTGAACAGTCACTAAATAAACTGTTGAAAATCGAGGACTACCTGTACTTTAGAAACCTATGTTATCAGTCCCCTACCAGTTTTAATGGTTGAATCAAACTATTTTTCAATCATCTCATACTACCTATAGATTCTTATATAGTGGTAAACTATAACATATGTAAACAAATACACCAGTGGCTTGGGGAACCTCAATGTTTGCAAAGTGCAACAGTTCTTTGGGGGGGGGGGCACTGCATCAGTTTTCACAAACCTGGCACTGTCTCAATAAGTTGAGATAGCAACTCCTAGAATATATAACATTTGGCCATTTTGGCTAGGGAGTTGCTGTCATAACACATCTGGACCAAAATGCTCTGTGACCTCAAAAATAAGATTGATGGGTGACAAGGAAAAATTGAACCTTATAGGTAGAGTGGATTGGAATTAAATATAACTCAAAAGGGTAAGACTAGATGGCTGACACAGAAATTCCATAAAAATTGTCCCTATTGACAGCCATGCACAGTGAAAATGGAGAACAATTTGGTATTGACTCTATAACCTGTGACCTGCTGGATCAGGTTTCAGAGAGACTCCCTTACCTAAACAGAAACAAAATGGCCTACAAGGTAGGCAAAAAAACAGGTGGGAGAGAGAAAAACTTCTAACTTCCTATCAGCTTTCCCACTGATGTTATTTGTGGGAATCTGGCAGGAAGTAGTGGAAATCCCTTTTCAATCTCCTTCTTTCACCACCCACCCACCATCCAAGCAGCCTATCCTACCTGCCCACTGGGCCTTACTGTAAGTCAATCGCCGAAGTGGAGCAACTTCCAACTTTCTGCCACTTTTCCAATTGGCTTTGCTCAGAAATCACTCTACTTTGGTTGACCACCAGAACTGCTTGTCACTTTGCTGGAACGAGGTGAACAAAGCCCACCCCGCTCCGGATCCCAGCTTGTCCCCAAGATCCCCTTCCATCCAAAGGTCTCATCTATCAAGTTTCCCCATTCTCCATCTAGCCCTACCTTGCTATCAGGCATCCAAATTGCTCCCTTGTCCTGCCCTTGCCACCCATTGCCATTTCAAATTTCAGTCTTGATTCTTTTCCATCAACCAATTGTGTATAGGGGCCAGAGAGAGGAAAGATGGTAGTGATATGGTCCTCCAATATTCCCTTGGGCTACGCAACCTATGGAATTCTGGGAAATGTAAAGAGGAGGAGAAGTAATGCAGAAGTAGCCACAACTTCCCCAAATTTCATTCCTCAGAAGTCATAGGTCTCAGCATTCTTTAAGTTATCCCATTGGAGTTCACTTGGTTCAATTGTTGCCCTATACTATCCAATTCCCTCAACTGAAGCTTGCAAAAAATGGAGAGGAGAGTTATAATAATACAGAGATAGAAGATAGCTATAAAAACTTCTTAAAAGACAGGCAAAATACAAACACATTAGCAAAATCACAATATGCCAACAGTGCTCAACAGTGATTTTTCACAGGAAAAAAAAAGCCAGAAATTAAATTTGAGAATAAACTTGGGAACATAGTTTCTATAGAAATTCCCAAGTTTAATTCCTGGCTTTTCACTTTGGAAGTTGAGGTAAGAAATGTTGGAAAGATCATAACCAAGATTCTGCATAATTTAATTAAGAAAAGATAAAGGCCTTAAAGGTTGCATGTTAGCTTTTGAACAAGGAAATAAACCATTTTAACTAAAGCAGTATCAAGAATGTCACAACAGGTGGCAACACTTAGGCATTCTTGACTGATCTCATTAAAAGTAACAACAGCTGAACCTGGTTAATACTTAAATAAGAGACCACCAGAACCTATAGATAAAATGGGAAGTAAAAAAAAAAAAGCATTTTGCAAAATGGCAAAGACAAACTATTTCCCCACTGTTGCCAAGGAAACTTCACAGATATTGTTCATATAATTATCAAGAGTCAAAATTAGTACCAAGGGAATTTTTACTGCTTTTCTCAACACCTATAACTAGGCCTGGTCAACAGAGGCATCAGCATGAGGTGGGACAAATTGGAAGTGGCAGAATAAACTGTAACACTTTTTCAGGAAGGTGACATGGCATACTTTTTTTAAAACTTGCAGCCAATTATAAAAAGTTTTGAACTTCTGGAATAATTTTTTTGCTACAGAAAAACAGCTAAAGTGCTTTCATTTTCTCACTATAGATGACTTCATGGAGAGCTATGCACATACTATAACTTACAGGACAAATAAGCAAATGTTTTGCTTGTAACAGACTCAGGAGCAAGCTCCATCATTTAAAGGGATGGATTGGGTGTCCAACTTTTTGGCTTGCCTGAAAAATAAAGATTGTCTTGGGCCATATATAAAATATGTATAATATGTTTCTATATAATATATAGAAACAGCCAACTATTTTTTTATATTTATTATCTGGTGAGGTTGCATTGCTAGCTTCCAGGGCCACAGATGCTCCATGGACCACAGACTGGACACACCTGATTTAGAGAATGAAAGCTACTGCCAGCCCAAGAAAAGTATAGCTTTTTAAATAAACCAAGAAACGCGGTGGCTCAGTGGCTAAGATGCTGAGCTTGTTGATCAGCAGGTCGGTAGTTCATGGTTCGAATCCCTAGCGCCACATAAAGGGGTGAGCTCCTGTTACTTGTCTCAGCTTCTGCCAACCTAACAGTTTGAAAGCATGTAAAAATGCAAATAGAAAAATAAGAACCACCTTTGGTGAGAAGGTAACAGCGCTCTGTGTACCTTCGGTGTTTAGTCATGCCAGTCACATGACCATGGAGACGTCTTCAGACAGCGCTGGCTCTTTGGCTTAGAAACAGAGATGAGTAGTGCTCCCTAGAGCTAGAAACAGTGGACTCTAAACAGAGTCAAACTGAGTTCATCCTTGGATAAAAGACGACTAGAAAATTCCAGGCCTACAAGTTAGCCTGATAATTTTTTTTTGAAAATCTTCAAAATATGATAAAAATTAATTCTGCAACATTGCCATGAAAATTCTATGGCTGTTTGTGTCCTCACTATGAGTCAAACTCTACCCAGGAGAATCTTGCCCATTTAACATGGCTTCCTAATAAAATGCTCTTTTAGATTTTGCAACCTGAAAAATAAATGTGTTTTAAGTCATTCTGCGCTCAAGCAAAAAACAAAAAACACCCTCAAGTCTAATCATAGGATTTGACTTTGTAGAAAATTAAATTAAGTGGTTAATTGTTTGATGTCTATCTCAAGGCTTATAAATATGAGTTATGCATTTTAGATGTGGAGAATTTTCTCTCCTTGCAGAAAATGTGCCTACATATTTGACAGAAAATGTTTCTCTATTTTCAGTCCAGTGGATGTACCTAGTTCTTAAATAAGCAGAGAATATATAGACACAGTAGCAGAATATAGATGATAGTATTCATTCCACATGACATGACCACTGCTGAATAGGGAACATGGTTAGTTTCAGATACATTCACTGTTACTCAGGAGTGTCTGTAACAAGCCAAGATATCAAAATGAATGCGTGAAATTTTTTTATTGAATGATGTAATCATGTGGATATAATATAAAAGTTGTGACATTTGCATGATTATGTAACCATGAATGTGGTATCAGGTCCTCTTATTCTCTCTGTAGACTCCACCATGCTGGCACTCCCAGCTAACACCACAATAAGTGATGAAAAAAAAGTTCAAATTATTGTTTCCAGAGACCTAGGTATTTGGACTCACAGGTTAATTCTGTATAACTTGATTTCATATATTTAGACACCCCCCCCCAAAAAAAAGATTGTATAGAATGTCTTCCTACAACTTGGTACCCTCCAAATAGCAATTCTGAAGTCATAACCCAATCACAGGTGGAGGACAACATGCTGTGGAAGTGACGTGAAGTGAGTTTCCAAATCAGGCAGTACCAAATTTTAAGTTCAGCCCCACCCTTTCCCGACCCACTTTGTATAGAACCGGAGAATGGGAGCATTTTTAGCTGCCCAGTGTAGGAAGCCATGTAAATTGAACAAATAAAGACATAGAGCAAGGAATGCATGTCTTGAATTTAAGTACAAACAGGCTTCTACTCTCATGTGTCCTCCAGACAGGTTAGCCCCCAATCCCCATTATCCAGTCCAGCATGGGCCCAGGATGATGGGGCTATCAACCTTTCCACATATCTAGAGCACACTTGCTGGCAAGATTCGGAGAAGGACTTAAATGTAGTTAACTGAAGACGGCTGGGAATTGTTAGTAGCACTACTACTAGGCCAACTCCCGGCGACCACGGAAAGGCGTACCTTTTCACCTACTCTTTCCAGCATGGAGCCAGCTGGCTGTTTTCTTGCCCGCCCTCCAGCCTAGTAAGTCACCCTATGCCGCCTCCTACCCACCCCGGTCTTCGGCCAGTTCTCAGGCCTACAACCTGCAGCCGGGTGGGGTATTCCCCCCCATGCACGGAGGCGAGGAGGGGAGGGGGAGAAACTCACGCGTTGCCCACGTGGATGCGGGGCGCCACTTCGTTGCTGTGCGCGCTGGGCAGGCTGTAACAGCCGCTGCCGTTGGCCAGCAGGTCGTTGAGCTCTTCCACCGAAATCTGGAACTCTGACATGGCTCGTTCGCCCCGCCGATATGGGCAGGGCCGCTTCCACGCTCCTTTCCCCGGGTCCTGCTTGATAGGAGGGGCCGCGATCAGCTGGTGCACGGCCAGCAACTCCCAAACTGGCCAGGAGGGAATGGCGCGGAGTAAAGACCGTGCGCCTTAGGGGCTCCGCCCTCAGAGTTTGACCATCCTAAAGGGACCGTGCGGTCTTTTTTTTTCCCCACGGGGGCTTTGTTTTTTTTCTTTTTCCTGCCGGTGGGTGGAGGGAGGCTTTCTAAATATTTAGGGTCGACTCTCTTCAGAGGCCCATAATAATTGTCTGGGTAGAGACCCGCGCACGTTGCCTGTGTGTATGTTGCACGCTCCAGATTCATGTGTTCCTGTGTTTTATCATTTAATGCTACAGGTGCTTGGGATCGGTTTTGGAGGGAAATTCTAGTTCCCGGTGTGTAAAGGTAATCGGGGCTGTTAAAGCAAAAGTTCAAACGTTTCGTCTGATGCTTCTCTTGTACCAGTGAAATGACATCTCTCACTAAATGAAAGAGACCCTTGTTCCACATTGTTTTCAAACAATGTCAAGGCCATATATATTATAAAAACTCCACCCATTCTTGATCTTAATCAACAGGCCATGTTCAGGTTTGGCAACCTATTGGCAACCTATTCTCGTTTTTAGAAGAGCCATTGCCAAATTATGAGGTGTTATATGTAAACAAGCTAGGCAAAATTCTGATGTTTACATTTTTCACTTAGATAACCTAAATTTCTGAATATGTACAGTAGAATGAACAGAAACTAATCCCATAGCCAGTGTTCACATGACCCATTAGGCTGGACTAGGTTGATATGTAATTTTATGTGTCGCAGCTGTTCAACATGAATTTTAGCTGCAGTGGAAGTTATTTGCTTTCAGGAGAATTTGCTTCCTAAAAATGTATTTCTTTCTTATATTTATTTCCTTTCTTTCCTCCAAGAGCTGCCAATTACCTCTTCCTACTCTTTCATTTTATCTTTGTAGTACTCCTTTGTGAAAAATAATAGCTGTGTTCACACAGTATTCCATTATTTTGCTTAACTATGGTTTCTTCAACAAACTGCAATTAGCTGAGTTCAGACAATCAGGGTTTATAAGTAGACTCTTTCAGCATGCATAGAGTATGTTTTTCGGTATTGAATTCATTTTTTCCTTTGCAAAGTAAGAGGCAATACTCAAAGTTTGATCTATTTTTACAAATTGGTGACTGCAAGGCATATCCTCAAGGAATAATTTCCCATCGTTCCTGCAAAACAGGCATACACAGACAAACATAAGGTTCTCAACTTAACACCACAATTGAGCCCAATATTTCTTTGGCTAAGTGAATTTTGTCCCAATTTGCAATCTTTTAGCCATCATTGTTAAACAAATAGTTGTAGTTCTTAAGTGAATCATGAGGTCATTAAGTGAGTCTGGCTTCCCCACTGACTTTGCATGTCGGAAGCTGGCTGGAAAGGGTTAGAAATGGTGGTCACATCCGCCCAATACAGTGCAACTGTCTCTAATACATGCCACTTGCAAAGCACCTGAATTCTGATCATGTGATTATGCGGATGCTGCAGTGGCCATATGAAAAATATTCATGTCATTTTTTTCAGTGCTGTTTTCAAAGTATTCCTTTGAAATGTCACCAAATGAATTGTTGTAAGTCAAGAATTACCTGTGTATGTATATATGTGTGTGTGTATGCGCACGTATATATAATTTTTATTAAGAATTTTGATAATACAATTTAAATGTAAAGAAAGAAAAGAATAAAAAGTAAAAAATGCACTAAAAATAAAAAGAATGTAATAATGAAAGAGAAAAGAAATAAAGATGTAATTTCTAACTTTCATTGCAAGAATTATAAACAAATTTAGTGATTCTTCATACCCCTCTAAGGTTACAAATATACATCCCATATTCAAGCTCTTATCTACAAACAAATCCATAAAACATAATCTTTTCAGTGTTAATGTCACCAGAAAGTCCATAAAGAGTTGCCAAAAATAGCAATCTTATTTTAACCTTGATCAACCAACTTTATTTTTATATTTTCTTCTAACAGTGTTAATCTTTAGTTCATTCAAATATTGTCATAGATTTTGATTTCTCTTCATTTTTTCTTTGGGTGGCATGATGGTTCAATGGTTAAGACTCTGGGCTTGTCGGCTGCAAAAGCCAACAGCCCAGGTTCGAGACCCGAACATCACATGACAGGATAAGTTTCCGTCCTCACCCTTGTTCCTGCCAAGATAGCAGTTTGAAAGCATGCAAATGCAGATAGATACATAGGTACCAGTGGGAAGGATGCTTCATGATGCCATAATCATCACATGACCATGGAAATGTCTTCAGACATCCCTGGCTCAATGGCCTTTAAAGCAGAGATGAGCAAATGTCTTCCCCAACTCCAGTTTTGTCTTCCTGGATTGTAATTTATTGTTTCTGCTGGAGGAAGAGATGGGAGGCTAAATGACGGCAAATTACTCTTCCTCTTCTCCTTTCTAGCTTTCTTGGCTTGGATGTTGAGATGGCCCTCTTGTTTTCATTCTGCTAAATTCCCTGTGCATCTGGTAATATACCTCACCATGGCACGGAAGGACACTGTACCTCTGCCGACTCTGAAGCTACTGTTGATTGGAGACAGCGCAGTGGGGAAATCCAGGTGCATGGGCAGGGTCACCAAATGGGATGGCAATGGGGAACTTTGTTCCAGAAAAAAAGGCAGATAGATGTTCCTTTGTGGTTTACTATTTTTTCCTCTTTTGCCTGTTCCTGTAGCCTTTTGCTGAGATTTGCTGAAGACACGTTTGAGCCATACCTCAGTCCAACTATTGGTGAGCAATGCTGCCTGTTCATATCTGGGGAAAAGAAGGGGGAGTCAGAACTGTGATTATTGCATCCTGTGACTATTGTAGATTGACAGCCAAACTTAACATTTTAGTTAAAGACACATACATATACACACAAACGCACTCATACAATTTTAGTGTTCCTCATATTTGGCCTTTTAACCATGTTTTAATGCATGCTATGTTGCCCAAACCTGAAATAGCTACAGTTCCAAAAATGGAAAATTGTACCCCAAATTTGTTGTACAACTGTATATAATTGAGAGGCAGTATTTTCTGTTAAACCTCTTTAAATTAACTTGTGATGTCAATATACAGATAGTATTTGATCTATGGCTGGTCACTAAGGGACCATTTGAATATATGAACAACCTAAAAAAGGGGATTTACGACATGGATTCGAAGTTCCCATAGTCAAAGTTTCCTTTGCAGTCACGTGACTGAATTTATCATTTGCAGTACAGTGGTGATTCACTTAATGACCACTAGAGGGACATAAAGGGACATAAAATTAGGTGCCACGAGTGGTTGAAGTTTTATGACCATTAAAGCATATGGCCATAAAGGGCAGAGTCCAGTATGGTTGTATGGGTTTTTTTTGTTTTTTTTAGTAATATTTTTTATTTTTCATTTTCATACACTCACATGTATACTGTGCATAGCCAACACCATACAGTATTAAACAATAATTGCATCAATTCCTCTTGTCAACAATACCCCAGAAAATAGAAACCCAATATACTTCTTCCACTCTCCATACACCTCTTTCTTCCACCACCCTCCAACTTTCTCTCTTCCCTCCATCATCCCCCTCTACCCTACTTCCCCTCCCCCTCTACCACTCCTCTCCCCAAATCCACTCCCCCCCTTCCTTCTCACCTTCCCCCCCACACCCTCTCTCCCATCCCTCTCTGCCCATCTTTCTTCTTTCCCACTCCTCCTCCCCTTGGTGTATTTCCACTATATGTCAGTATGGTTGTATGTTGAGGACTACCTGCAATGTGGGATTAGTGGCTGGAAAGGAATTAACCATAATTTTTTCAGAAGAAACATCCAAGTTGAAATAATATAGAGTACATCAGGATTTGGGTGAATAAATTTGCACAAAGTACAGTAACAAAATATATTTATGCTACTTTTCTTTAATTGCATTTGATACATAGTCCAGTTTGACAAATTGCATTAATTAGATAGGAATTTCCTACTCACATCGCCAAGATCTGATTTAAAATGCCCATCCTTTTCTAACCTGCTACTTTCCAGACATGCATAGATTGCTGTTATTTCTGTGGCAGGATCCATACAGTATATCACCAAGGCATAGTATGATTTTATTTGGTTTGACTTGCCATGTTTTTCTATAAACTAACATTGATGGCTTAACCCAGGGTTTCCCAGCCTTGTTGCGCCAATGGACAGTGTGGAACTTTGAGACTGTATCATAAGCATTCTTACAAAATAGTGGCTCCGGTAGGTGTGGCCAATCACAAATCATCCTTTCACTAAGAGGCCATGCTTATAAAAAAAGCAACAGCATCAATCCTTTATTATTATTTTTCTAAGATAGTCTTCAGTGTCTGTGTGAGCACCAGAAGCAGCCTTAGAAAAAGACATTTAATTTTAAAAATTATGAACAAAATGAAGCAAATTTTTCCAATACTCTTATTTTCTAAGAATGCCCCCAGTTACTACTGAGAATTGGGGATCTTGCTGAAACTGCTGGTTATGCCTAATGCTGCATTACCTTCTATTTGTTTGCTCTATTACTGTTAGACCATTGACTCTATTATTGTCAAGCAGCTGGTCAATCGGCAGAATGCTGCTCTCAGGTTCCATGTTAGGCACAGATGATTTGGTGTATTTTGCTGATCCTGTGTGTCTCTCTGTTTGGTTTTCAGGTGTTGATTTTAAAGTGAAGAAAATGGTGGTTGGGAATTTCCCCATTCAGTTAGCAATATGGGTAAGCCGCAGAGTCTCCCTTTCCAATTCAGGAAAGTAATGTCTAAGAAAAGGGGAGGGGAGGGGAGGGGAAGGGAAGGAGGGGGGAAGGAAAGAAAAGAAGGAAAAGAAAGAGAGAGAAAGAAAGAAAAAGAAAGAAATATGAAAAAGCAACATTCTTTCGGTCTGTGCTAAGAATTCATATTCCTGAAACTGTCATTAGTGTTGCATAACATACACAGAGATGACCAGTTTTTCCACTCTCATATTCTTCGGATTCCAATTCAAATTGCACTTTCTGTTATTCTGAGCTGTCCTGATCTTTTCAGACCTTTTCAGAAATTGGAACACTACAAGGTTGGAGCATGTTTACATGCAGGGAACTACCAGCCAATCAGTGCTACCCTTTGGCTTTGTAGGTGAGCAGAAAATCGCCAGTCAGCAGGGTTTAACTGTCTTGTTCTGCACCCAGATTTTCATCAAAACATCTCTTTCCTCTCTAAAATAAATAAATTGATTCGGTTCTCCCAAGTCTGTATCTCTCCCCTTCAAAGCAATTGATGCTGGCATACCAGGATGCTAAGGAAGAAAAGTAGGAGCTGGGAGGCAGGTGGGCTGGAATTCAGTGAGAGCACAGCTGCCCCTCTCAGCTCAAGGGAACATTTCGGCAGCGATGTTCGCTGCCTTGTGAGTGGCAATAGAATTATCCCCCCCCCCGCCCCAATCCATAACCAGATTTACACTTTTACCTGGAAGCCTCCTGATAACTGGTAGTTATATCTTCAAACAGAAGCGAAAGTGGACTTTTATCTAATCTTGTACTGCAGTGACTCATACACACATAACATCTTCTCATACTTGCCCTCTGCTTCGAGTCGGAGATTGATATTTTTTAAAAATCAATAGTGGCCTATTGATATTATGCAAATCCAACTTTTGAGAAACACAAAATCTGTATTACTCTATTATAAGTGTTTTCATTAAGACTTTTCCCTCTTCGATTGTTTTTCTAAATATTCAAAACCCTGGTGGATTTTCCTATGCTTTTCAATACTTGATGGCTATTGAGGATGTGGGCTCAGGTTTGGATTACTTAAATAATCAGTGTAACGTAAATCACTCTGCTGCTCTTTCCCTATGACACAGTTGCTGCAAATGTCTTGCAAGGCTCTATCACCATAGATCCTTTCAATGTACAACTCTATGGCTATGGAGCTTGCAAGAAGTAGGGACAGCTATAAAGTCCACTCGGTAATCTCAGTATCTTTCTTGTAGACTCGGTGGCCATAGAATTCTCTAAAAACTGGGACTTTGGAGCCCTTGACTGGTATGCTGGGAAGAGTCTAAGACTTTGAAGCTTTGCGATTTCAAAGGGGAAATAAAAAAATTATGTATACAAATGTATCTTTATGTGCAGAACAAACTGTATGGGCAGTCCTCAACTTTGCCCCCTGGCATCAAATGCAAATCTTGAAGCCAGGATCTTATCTTCCCAATCTATAGGCTGCTGTATCCATTTCATATTTGGAACTGAAACTGTGGAGAATATGCAGAGGGAAAAACCATATGCAATCTTACAGCACATATTATATCTCTCAAGCAAGTTGTCTTGCTTCTTCACGTACTACATTTCTTCTCATAAATATGTGCTTTGTTGTCAAGCCTGGGAAATTTTTGTTTTATGTTAAAAGCCTAGGGCTGAAGATGGCAGATTGTGACTTTAGATTTCAGCTTTAGGGCCTTGCAATCTCGAGCCTATATGTTAGCTGTCCCAAAGGCAGTTTTATTTTTTGTAAAACAACTTTTTTTTTAAGTTTCTGCTAGAAAAACTGCTAGAGTTTTAAATTATCCTTTAATTTTTTTTTTCTTTTGCAGGACACAGCGGGGCAGGAAAGATTTCGAACATTGACTCCAAGCTATTATCGAGGTGCTCAAGGTATAATTTTAGGTAGGTGGTAATCATAGCACGAACATAATCAACCTTACTGAAGCCAAACACATTAAGGGCAGAGGTAAATGGAAGCACATCTATTCCTCTCAGGGTAGCTGGAACAACAGCCTCTGAAGAACCATTGGTGGAGTTTGCTCCTAGGCTACTAATTGTTTGTTGGCGGTGATTGTTTTTCAGCAGAGTTTCATGTTACTTAAAATATTTCAAATATGAAAGCCAAAGTCCCCTTAGTTTTATTTAAGTTTCTATTGATGGAGATGGAGATGTAAAACACGACAGGCTTTCAAACTTTGATTCAAGTTAAGCTAAACACTGAAGACTATTTTAATGTGGCCATAATATCCCCATCCTCCATTTCCCCTTCAGAATATTTTGCTATGTTCCCAAGGTGATTTTATCATGTGGGGACAATCTCCTTATAGCTTGACATTAATTACATGCAATAGATGTGGCCTTCATAATCCAAAACCTTATTTGGTGCAATAATTACAATTCCATTGCATTCACCATGGGGAAGAGTTGCCTCTGTGTAGATATAACATACTGCCATTTGAATGCTGGAGAAATTGTGTTGCAGCAGAGAGTGTCACTTAGAGAGACCACACAAGAAATAATAAATCATGGGAAAAGCCTTGAGAGCTCACATTCTTCTTATGAATTTCAGAAGCAAATTCACACCAGTGCCATATTTCACTATTACACACTGGGAAGAAAAGCTGGTTCTCAACATTGGTATATTTAACCTGTGCTATATAGTCTACAAGCTGCTGCTTTTTACCCCTACAATTGGGGGAGGGGGGAGAGATGAAAATATAGAATAAGTTTCTAGCATGGATGGCTGCCAGCAGAGGTATGTTTGATGGCCAGGGCACTATTTGGAGGAGGATTGGCATAGATGGGACGAAGATGCAGGGGGCATGTGCCCTCATCACACAGGTAAATGAGGCCAGAATCTTGCATTTCCCTCCTGAATTTAAGCGTAATTTTGAGATTTTTCTCTGTAGGTATATCTGCGTTTTAATCTAAGAACAGCAGACAAGAAATCTGGTGGCCGCCTAATATTTTCAGTCCGAACTATCATCTTTATTTGCTATTAGATATGTTCAATAATAATCAGTTGCACTTGAAGGCTGAAGTGTTTGGGAGGCATTAGAATGCTTACCTTTTTTATATACATCATTTGGGCTAACTTCTGCAGGGATTATCACAAAAACCTTCCTTTTGTCTATATCCCTCCAGAAGTTATGAACCTACTAACTCACTAAGGATGGTTAATTGTTAAAAATGATTGGGAGATAGTCCAAGATTGTCTGTAAGCCTAAGTAGAACCAGATGTGGTTCTATCCACCCAATCACTTTATGTCATGTCAACCTTTTCCATTTTTTGTGCTTACTGAAAATGCTCTCCTATGTAAACACAAGGCGTCTGTTTGGTTTACACCATTATGCAGTTTATGATGTTACCAGGAGAGAGACGTTTCTGGGCCTGGAAAGCTGGCTACAGGAGCTAGAGATCTATACCAAGAAGAATGTTGTGAAGATGCTGGTAGGCAACAAAATTGATGAGGTAAGTTATAAATTGGGATTAAACTTGGTGTTTGTGTGAAATTTTAGACTCCTTGTTATCTTGCTGGGATGCAAGAGATCTGTAAATGGGAGATTAGATTTGGAGATGCACGTATAAGCAGAGTAATGAGGAAAGGTACAAATTGTCATGGCTGGGGTTTCTCTAGGTATAACATGGCTATGAAACATAAATCATCAGATTACTAAATAAATAAATTGTTAGATCTTTGAGTTAAAGTGATACCAAAAAATGCTGAGAACATCTTGGACAATAAGAAGTATAAATCATTCAAAAGTAAATTATTATTAATTGGACAGACTCATATTAAAGTTAAACATTAGATATTTTGGACATGTAATGTGAAGGTAACTGTCATGGGAGAAGACAGTAGAAAAATGTAAGACAAAAATAAAAAAAATGATAGACAATAAGGTAGCTATATACATTTACTGACATATCTTGTTAAGCAGAAACTTAAAAGAATTTAGAGAAGGAATTTATGATAGGGAGTTTTGGTGAATGGATACTCTTGGGGCCTAAAGAGTTGGAAATAACTGAATGACTGAACAATAGTGAAAGAAAAAGTATTGGGAAAGGATTAACAGAAATATAGAGAGAATTGTGGAAATAAATGAAGAAAATAGAGGAGGGAGTGAAACAGAGGAATCTATGAAGTGAAAGTGTGTGTTATGGAATGCATTAGGAAAATAGGAAGTAGATTGTACAATAAAGTGATCATTGTAACAAAAAAAGCTTTTCCTTGCAATGTATGGTCCTCTGAATAATTAAAATTGTATATAACCTAGATTAAAAACGCTCCCACATTTTAGGTTGCCTGATAGCAAATGCACATAGTGTGCAGCCTCTGGTAGAGCTGAAAAGCAAAGCCTGTTAATAAGTAAGCAACAAGATTGAAAGGCTGGCTGTAATTAGTTTCCCTCCTTCCCTCCCTCCCTATCACCAAAAATCTTGTCCCCGTCTGCAGAAGCCTGTTGGATGTTTGCTCCCTGTTATTGCCTGCCTCCTACGCTTTGCCAGAGGCATCAGCTGCCTTCATACCTCAGCATCCTGAACGAGACCTCTCCATCTTTCTCCTGCTCTGATGTAATGGGCAATCTGTTCAAGCTGCTTCAGAAGCCAGCAGTTTCTCTGTCGCTACTCTGTGTTTTGGGTCCTTTTTTTTTTTTTTTGGTTTCTGCTTTCACTAGACACTGGAGTTTTGTTAATTCCCTTCCCTAGTAAGAAAAACAGTCATAGCTGAGGGAGCTCTCATGTATGGCTTCTCTTCCAATATTTGTTGCAATTCTAGTTCACTTTTTTTGCTCTGCCTTTTGCTTCTTTAATTCTGATTATACTACCACGTACTTCATAAAATTTACATCAGAACTAATATTCACTCTCAATATACAAAACGAAAAAGATCAGCCTTAGATATGCTGCAAGACCAAAGGAAAATGGACAAACGACCAGCATCTTCAGAGGTTCTTTCATTGCACATATGATTATCAATATACGTGCACTTGCCATATTTTGAGACTACATTCTTTTTAATAGGATTGTGCTCAGGAAAACTGTTCTGCCTATTGTCTGTGGAGGTTCAACAATCGTCATGGTTATCCCAAAGGTGCTTTTTCTCCAAAAGGAAACTGGACTTCCTTGGTTTTTTCTTTGAAAAAGTTTCACTTATCCAAGAAGCTTCTTCAGTACTTAAGAAAAAGTCAAGAAAATCTGGTTGCTTTTTGGAAAAAGCACCTTTGGATGTTCTACCAATTATATTAAAAAGCAAGTTTATATGACACTGATTGAGAAAGCCAGTCAGAAAACCTATATTCTTCTTTTTACAGCTATGAATGGTGCTGATTGGCTTGTTCTTTTACTAATCTCTCCTTCCCATGAAGAAAACTATTTTTTTCATTATCGAGTTATATATTTATGAAGCCCCCATACAATAATTGTATTAGTGATTGACTGTGCAATATTTTGGAGTTCAGAGGCATACTTAAATGTTTTTTGAACAGGGAATCAGTGTTTTTTAAAACTACATTAATGTTTATATCATCTTTAAATTACAGTACTGGCACTACACTTTTTGTTTGTTTCCTTCCTCTGACAGGAAATCTTGCCAATCTTTCATGTTGTTGTTGTTGTTGTTGTTGTAGTAGTAGTAGTAGTAGTAGTAGTAGTAGTAGTAGTAGTAGTAGTAGTGGTACAGAGGAACCAACATAAAGGATTTGAGGATTTCTACATCACACCTGAAGGGACTTGGTGGCTCAGGGGCTAAGACGCTGAGCTTGTCGATCAAAAGGTCGGCAGTTCAGCGGTTCGAATCCCTAGCGCCACGTAATGGAGTGAGCTCCCGTTACTTGTCCCAGCTTCTGCCAACCTAGCAGTTCGAAAGCATGTAAAAATACAAGTAGAAAAATAGGGACCACCTTTGGTGGGAAGGTAACAACGTTCCATGCGCCTTGGGCACTGAGTCATGCTGGCCACATGACCACAGAGACGTCTTCAGACAGAGCTGGCTCTTCAGCTTTGAAACAGAGATGAGCACCGCCTCCTAGAATCGGGAGCGACTAGCACATATGTGCGAGAGGAATCTTTACCTTTATCTTATATCAGAATTGAATGTTGAACTAATGTTGAACTGAACATAAGCACCAGTTTAGTCAGGAACATTTTACATATGCCAGATTTCCAGTGGAGAAATTGTAAAGAACCAAAAGAGTCTCAAAAGAACAATAAATAGAATAGGGGAGAATTAAATCCACCCTTTATGAGTTTTTGGAACCTTAATACAAAATTCAGATCTATCTATTTTTATGTTTGAAAACAAGAAATTTGTAAATCTGTTGAGTGTGTTGACTCATTCTTCTATCACTGTGTTTTACAGAGATAACAGTTCTGTTAGTATTCAGTAGATATATAGTAAAGAGAAGGAATGAAGGATGCATGGTTGTGCGGGGCTTTGTTGATTCCCAGCTCCTGTTAATACAAAAAAAGTCTAGATAGAAATGCAAGAATAACCGTTAGTAGGATAGGAGTGGAAAGCAACTGGCCTATATATTCAGTGTGGCCCGTGAGTCTTCCTATGTTCCCCCACCAGCATTTAAGTTAAGACATTTCATCCATTAAATACTGTATTTGATTTATATCATCATCATCTCACAGAGAGAGACTTTTTTTATTTTTCCAACACACCGCAGGTTGGAATTGCTATGTAATTATAATTTATCAAACCTTGTCAAATCTAGGAAATGGCATCTTTGGTAAAATAATCTAACTGGCCTTTTGCCAATTTAGAAGACAGTCCTGTGAGGTCTCAAGCTTGACAGTTTTCTTGCAGATGTTTAATTACCTGACCAAATAAAATTATTAGTAGTGGAAGGGGGTGGAGTTTGCTCTATATGCAAGTGGTTTGCCCTGTCACTGTTATTGGTGGTTCCAAAATTAGGCTATTGTTTGCTGTTTGTATATCTGAGTTGGTAGTTTGTTGATTGGGGTATTGTTTACTGCTTAACTGTTAATCCAGTATTAATCTAGAAGAGAGTCCTTCTTCCTTTCCTTCCCTTCCTTCCTTCCTTCCTTCCTTCCTTCCTTCCTTCCTTCCTTCCTTATCTACCTACCCATATCAAGTACCTAATAGTTTTCTCTCCCTATCTACAGACCAACCGTGAAGTAGAAAAAAGAGAAGGATTGCTATTTGCACAGAAACACTCCATGCTCTTTATAGGTATGTGAAGAATATGAGGAAACATTCTGATTTGCCAGAAGTAAAATCATGGCAAAAACCATCATTTCATTATCTTTGCAGATCTTCTCCCCAGCCTACTCCTAGCACTATTCCTTTTAACCCTTCCAAAAAAAACCCTATGTGGGATGGGCTTAGGTTTCTCTCCCACCTAAGCCCTAAATGTCAGTGCTAGGGCTTAGGTGGGAGGGAAAGTGGCATCAGATTTGCTCCTGCAAAGGTCCTTAGATATCCTTTCAGAACTATAGAACTGCTATTTCAGGGCCTTTCACCAGTTAAAGAACAGTCTGTCAATCCAGTCTGACAGTTGGCATGAAACAACATCAGCATATTTGCCAATCTGCATTCTTCTGTCTTTGTTACGTTAAATCACATACTAATGACTTTGTCCTGATTTGTGAATGAGCCATTCTTTATAGGCAAATTGGTTCCCCACCCCCACCCCTCCCCATAACTTTGCAGATCCCCAGCCACCTAGGAGAACATCCACAAATGCAGCCAGAATGTGAATGGTCTGACTTCAGGACTTGATCTGGCATCTCTAGGCAGGCTTGCCAGTCCCTTCTCCCAAGGTACACTAAAATAGTGAAACATTTGGGAAATGTTTCCAGGGAGAGAGGCAGATCTTTCCAGGATTGGACTATAGCTAGGCCCTTCAGAGCCATAGAACTGAACTAGCTGATGGGCAATCACTCTTGTTCTTGGCAGTAGAGAGGGAGAAGCAATAAAGAACAGTATAGAAAACTAGGCAATAGACAACAAATGTCGAGTTCAGCATCCTTCATTATTTTCCGGACACAGTTGTTAGGAAGAGAAAGGCTGCAGCATAATTAAAAATTTCACAAGCCAATTAAATAAATTAACACAAACATGCCCTTTGTTCTTCCCCGGCTGACATTGTGGAGTTCTGTTATGCTATTTTACCCTTGTTGGAAGCCTGGAGAGAAGCTGGTGTCAGAGAAGAGAGAGTTGGATCCCATAGTCTCTCAGCATAAATGTGCATAAATTTTATTTTCCCCATCACTGAGTTAAAGCACTGCCCCTGCATCCTTGAGTTAGCATAAAACAGTAGCAACATAATGATTACTGTTCGTATAAAATTCACCTCTATAAATGCCTCAGGCGAGCCCAAGAGCGGGATAAGAGCTGGAGAGCACCATACTTATCTTGAGAGGCATGTATATATTCAAACAATAACAGCATGCCTCCCGGGAACAGGATGGTGCACTTCAGTTCTTAATTCCGCTCTTGGGTTCACCTGAGGCATTTGGTAGGCCTCTGTAGGACTGGCTGAAAGAGGTGGGCCTTTTGGTCTGAGGCAGCAAAGCATCTGTTGATAAATGGGGGGGGGGGGAGGAATGTAACCCTTAATTTCCTGGAAGAAGTTTGATTTATTTAAATAGTTATTTGTCATTAGGGAATTCACACTGAGACAGATGCATCTAGTACCAGCAGCTAGCCTTCTTGATTTTTAACAGAAGAAGAAATTTTCTCATCCCTTCTGTGCTTCGTGCTTTCTTTTCAGTGGGGAAGAGATTCCCTTGTTTCACCGGAGATGGTGAAGAAAACTTAGCAGGCAGAAAAATACGATATGGGAGGGTTTAAAAGGAACGTGCACACTTTTTAAACCCTTCTCGCTTTCCCCTTAAGAATCAATAAAATGTTCAAAAAGAAATGGAAGGCAACTTTTTTAAGCAATGTGCTTTGAATTTTGTGAGGTGTTTTTCTGGTGTTTCAGAGATAGTAATGAACACTTGGGGGGGGTGCTATAAATATATATATATTTTTGACATATTTTATAAGCACTTAAAATGTCTTTTGCAAGGTCAAACTAATGCTTCTAAAGTCATATCAAAAATGGTTGGGCTAGAGGTATAAGATTTGGATTAAAAACACAGACAATCTCTATGTGGGAGCAACAAGAGCCTTCTGTACTTATTGCTCTAGTGATGATTTCAGAGGAGATTTTTGTAACCATCCTAAAACAGAAATTATCTGCCACAAGAAGTAACTTTACATCAGGGTTTCCATAACTGGGTCTTCCAATCGATCTCTCACCATGCATGCTGGTCCAGAATAATGATAGTATGACATTGTCTATCAAACCTGATGGGCGAAGGCCACTAAATACCAACAAGCTAGAAAGATCTCATATGCAACCCGATATTTACAACCCTGATATCACTCTAAAATATACACTTGTATTGATTTATAGATTACTCCCTCCAAATAAAAGCATTTCAAGGTACATGAAGGTATATATAATCATGTCCATGTTGCTGCCAATAAAACCCAAATGGAGGAATATTTATCCTATAGATAAAGTAGAATAATTTCAGGATTTTAGTGATAAAGATACTTTATTTAATAGTCTTCTATCTGAATAAATCTGACAGTATCTTTTCCAGCTAATGTTTATTCCTTTTAAGGTGTTAGTTGGAAAAAGTGCTATCAGACACCATTTGAGTTCTGTCTACCATAGAATTATCATGGCTGCTTTCCTACCATGAATGCTGTTCTGTTAAATCGCCATCTCTCTCCCCATTCTCCAGACCACAGTCCTCAGATCAGTGGTGGAATTCAAATTTTTTTTACTACCGGTTCTGTGGCTTTGTGGCTGGCTTTGTGGGTGTGGCAGGGGAAGGATACTGCAAAATCCCTATTCCCTCCCCACTCCACTAAACCTGCTTTCCAATTCCTTTCTCCTGTTCAGGCCAACAAAAGAAGATTGGCTGGGAGGCAGCAGGGGCGGGGCCAGCCTATTTGCCGGTTCTCCAAACTACTCAAAATTTCCACTACCGGTTCTTCAGAACCTGTCAGAACTGGCTGAATATCATCTATGCCTCAGATGACCTCTGATGCCTTATGTTGTCTGTTTTCTGTTTAGCTGTATCCTCTTCAAATAGTTTCTTGGCGTTGCATTTGGAGTTGTAGTAGCACAGGATCTATAACACTTCTTTGTAATACTATCCCCATAGCACTTTTTATTCCAATTTTTTTGCTCCATTAAATGTAGATGAGCTAAGAGTGTTGCTCAGGCCACTTAGCAGGAAAGCTTTCTTTAAAGCAACACTATCCAAATGCATTAACTCCCATCATTTTTTTTTAACCACTAATGATGTTTTTTAAGCTTGATGGGAGTGTAGGCCAACCTCTCTGGAAGATGATGAGTTCAGGGAGGTTGAATTTGGACACCTGTACTTCATTTGACAAATGGCTCCTCTTGTTGTTTTGTTTCTACCTCCAGAAGCCAGTGCTAAAATGAAGGCTGGAGTGCAAAGTGCCTTTGAGGAGGTCGTCATGAGGATCCTGCAAACTCCTGAGCTTTGGAACATCAGAAGAGAGGGAGTGAAGTTGGCAGAAAGCAGATCCTTCAGAGAAGCAGATGCCTGCAATTCCTACTGTTCTGTTGCTTAACACCCTATGTGTTCAAATAAAAAAGACCCAGGGCAAAGATTCTAAGAAATGGGCTCGTCCCTGGTATCATATTAATCCTTCTCGCATTCGGTCAGGAAAACAACATCTTGGGTGGACATCCTAGAGTGGGTAAGAGCAACAACAATTTATGGATGGCCATGAAAATAAAGAACTAGGATTTTTCATTCCCTTCTTCCTCCAGCCCCAGACATTGTGAGTTTTCAACAAGCTTATACCCATTTATAAGAACATTATTGGCGCGCAACTACAATTTTCACACGATTCTCAATTAAAAATGGCAGGAAACTGCAGCATTAAGTTGCAAGTCAGGAGACCATTTAACTGCTAAAGAACAGCCAAGGAAGCTCTGAAAGATACCAAATGAGTTTTGCAACCCACATGTGCCCCTGGGATTACAGGTAGTCCACCCCCTCAGGTATACTGAAATGAGTACAGCAGATTTTACTTCCTTCAGATGAGGGAACATTGCACATTAATTTATGCTCACAAATAAGCAACTAGAGTAGCTTGGGAGCAGGTTCCTCAAGCAAGCCACAAAATTCTTAATATCAGACTCTGCACTCAACGATCCTTTCACCTTCTGCCAATTCACAGTCTTTGTATTCTTTCTATCCTTCAGACTGCCAGCTTCTCTGTTACACACATAACACACAGTTCTTTTGCTGCTTCCTCCAGATGGCAGTCACCATCTCCAAATTGTGATGGCATATTATTATTATTATTATTTTTAAAATATTGTCTGCCAACTGAGAGACCTCTTAACCATTCACTCCAGTTCATCAAATATCAAGTTTCTCTCTTATTTAACTAAAAACAAGAAACTATCTTACACAATTTCACATATCATGAATCATGTTTGGCTTTTGCTTTACACAGTTTCACATAACCATGAGTTAGTTTGGCTTTTGCTTAGTGCATTACACGAAGTCAGCTGCTATGCATTGAATGCGGTGGTTTACTTTTAAGCATATTATATAATTATTATAATTTCAGATCTCTTCTGAATATTATTCCTGCATTGTTGTTGTATACTGCCCAGAATCGCTCATTTAGAGATGAGCAGCTATATAAATTTGTTTGATAAATATAAATAAATAAATTATTAAATAATTTAAAAGCCTTTTAAAACATATTATCTAATTAATATATTTTTGAATTGCTGCTTAGCCTTAGATTGTTCAGAATTATTTACATTAACTCAAGGAAGCCAAATCAATGTGGATAAATGCAAACGTTGCAACTAAAACTAAAAAGGATTTGTATTCATGAGCAACGTAGCAAAAATCCATTTTTGTAGCAAAATTTCAAATAAACCTCTCCCAGAAAGGAATTGAATTGCTGAGAAGTTATCCAAGAAAAATACTTCATAAATGCCCACCAGTTTCATATATGCATAATGGGACATACAATACCTTCAAAAAGTGAACAAAGGGGAAAATTTATAGGAATATTTTGACCTCTAAAATTTCAGCACTCTATAGGTTAAAAAGCAGCATTTGGCAATCTTATCATTTTTTTTAACAAACTAAGCAGAACGAAGTCTGGTTAATATTGGATCAGTGTCCTCTGTAGTTAAGGCTATCAAGATGATGAGTGCAATTGGGAGATCAAAGCCTTCCTCTTTCTATGTACCTGTTTACCCCACCTCTTCCTATGTGCTGCTGCCAGCATTCTCAACTTTCCTGACAAGATGACCATCAGGAGCTCCCAACAGTTGGGAGTTGGAAAAGAATGATAGCCATTATCTCTATTCCTGCTGAGAGAACTTCATGAACTTGTCTATGAAGCCACTGAAAATTAAGTTCAGTTAGAGCAGTGTTTCCCAACCTTGGCAACTTGAAGATGTCCGGACTTCAACTCCCAGAATTCCCCAGCCAGCATTCGCTGGCTGGGGAATTCTGGGAGTTG